CTCGCATCGGTCTTATCAACACCCTCAGCGGGAGTCGAACCGCAACAGTGCAGGATGGAAGCTTGACACGTTAACCACTCGGACATATTGCCACGAGTGCCCTTAGGTCACAGGGCAAATGTGAATTTCCAGGAAGGCCAGGCCTTTTGTTATATCATATTCTTAGACTGCTAGTCACGAAAGCAATACTTAATTCGAAAAATAAAGTATACTAGTAGATATAGTAGATATACGTTTGCTTTATCGACAATTCCACTAAAAGAATATGCAATGGCAAAAAGGCCTGGCCTTCCTTGAAAATTCACATTTGCCCTGTGCTCGTGGCAGTGAACCGAGTGGTTAGCGTGTCAAGCTCCCATCCTGCACTTTTGCGGTTCGACTTCCGCTAAGGGGATTGATAAGACCGATGCGAGGTCGAAACTGCAATCCACTGGTGCCTGGATGAGAATAACTTTTGGGAAAGCAAGGCTATGTGAAATTCAATGGAAACTTCAGCTCAACTCATATCATTGTGGGAAAATTCTTCTTCCACCAGTCCTTCATCACCTTAAACGAAATTGTGTGAATACATCTCATATTACTGATTTCCTGGTAGTCACAAAAACAATACTTAATTCGAAAAATAACTCTTTAAATAGCACAGGCAGAGTAGACGAATCCTACGGAGCAAGAGAGAGGCTCTGATAGGCCCTGGAGGAATAGGATTGTGGACTAAACGACAATCTTGAAGCAGCACTCCCAGTACAGTGGGTGGGATGAAAAAACTAGCGGGGAGTGTGAGTAGGTCTCACTAAATCCGTTCAAAAGGGCGTTACGAGGATATAGGATAAGTAAATACCCCAGGACAGGGGATACAATTTGTCAAAGGATCGACTTCACTTGTCTCTGACGAATTGTAGTGTGGTGCTGAAAATGGCAAGGCTCACTGACGATGCCGACTACGACGCTAGCGAAACGTCTGGGAATGTATCAAGTCCGACTCTCGAAATGATCATGCATACTATGGACTCCTGACAAGATGCGTTCCTCTAGGTCTTCCTGCCAATATGAAAAAGTTGCGAAAACAAGATCAAACAACATATATACAACGAAAGGAGACTACGATCACACTTAAGGCTACACTATTCTGGTCTTCATACCTTCGATTAAATAAATTAATTTTATTATCCTCTTAGATCTCAAAACTCACGGGTAGCTGAGGTTTGGA